GTAAGGCTACGTGACAATAATATTAGCCGAACCCATTGCACCCTCTGCTGGTGTTGCCCATAACTCCAAAACTGCTGCTGCCTAGCTGCAGCCGCGCCCTCGTTGTCTTCGCCGGCGACTCCTAGGCCGAGGCGCGTTTTGGCTTGATTACTCAATTGTTTTGGCTTCGAGGAGGAAACAAGGACACGGTCACACGGCGACGACGGGTGCGTGGTGCCACAGCATAGGAACGGGGAAAGATAAAACGACGGGAGGTCAGAGGAGGTCTCGGCGCCCGGCCAGCCCCCATAATCTCCATCCTCCTCTCGTCGGCTCTCTCACGCACTCGTGCATGGAGAGTAGCAGTAATGGAGACGGCGGGCCTTGGAGCCGGTACAGCGAGCACACCACCCTTGGTTCCGGTTCCTGCTCATCTAGCGGCTACACATCAGGTACCATCGTCTCGACTGCCTACACGTCTAACAGCTCGCACCTATCCTCTTTCTCCATGGACATGGTGGAGTTGGACGAGGACAGGAGGTCATCCTGGATTGAAACGGAGAAAAATGATACCGAGTTTGGTCGGCCAAGCAAGAAGCCCCACAAAGAAACGGAAAAAAAGGATGCCGAGTTTGATCGGCCAATCAACAAGCCCCACAAAGAAACCGAAAAAAAGGATGCAGAGTTTGATCGGCCAATCAAGAAGCCCCGCAAAGAAACCGAGATAAAGCATACTGAAGTTTTCCAAGTATTTGAGATGAACCTCTATGAAATTATTGATCAGAGGAAGTATAAGCTGGTGGAATTTGAAAGCCCGGTGGAAAGCCTGGTGGTGGAATTCTCAGTGCGCCGAGTGCAAATCGAGGCGGCGACATGAGTCTCGTGGAGGCGTGGTTAGAGCATATGGGCGTCAGGCGGATTATCCACATCGCTGATGGTGCATCTACAGAGAAAATCTCTCATACTCAAAGGGCGAAGAGCTGGATCCGTGCCCTCGATCAGATTAAGAAAACCATGCATCTTATGGTGGAGCTCTTTCCCAATGCCGACTCTGCCGCAGGCCCGTCCAGTATCTGCGAAGAAGAACCTAAGACTGAGAGTTCGAAGGGAGCTAGTGTTCCGTTTTAATTCCGCTATGCACAATTCATCCAACAAACCATGTTCAAAATGCTCGCTTTTGTCGATGTCATAGCTGGTCCTAATACTGCAACTACTAGATAAGCTCCGTGTCCTGCTCCGTGTGCAGTGGGCTTTGCCCGGTGCCTTACCAAAGATCAGGTTACCAATCGACTCGCCACTTCGTGAAGAAGTTCAAAGCATGCAGGAGGAGTTAGACAACCTCTTGTCGGCAAACAAGGACAAGACCAGTGTGTCCATATGGAGCATAATGGAGGAGATTAATAAGACTGTTTTCCTCAAATCGATAGAGGACAGAGACCACTCATCCAGTTCTCTAACTCCACAAGGATCATCGGACGTTCACACTGCCACTTGATCTGTAACGCAGGACATCATGTTACTGAAGTGGGCTCATCTGTACTACCCGGAAATTACTGAAATTGTATCTCAAGTAATTAGCTGTGGTAAGTATGTGCCTCAGATTAGAGATGTGCCACCTTTGACCAGCATGATCATAGAGATGATAGCGTCTTGTCTTGAAGAAAAGCTTGCCAAAAGTTCAGAATCCTCATTCCTAGATCACAGTCGCAGGTTCTTATTCTTGCTCAGCAATTTACGTGTCATACTGGAGAATTTTGTTGGCTTCTACCATCCTATCCACGTTGCAGCCCTCACTAGCAAAGTCGATGCCTACATCGAGAGCTATCTACAAGTATCATGGGAACCGTTGTTCTCATGCTTGTTGAATCCTAGACCCCTGAGGAACAAGAGAGGGAGAGCCTCCCCACTGACCAAGTTCGAGTTCGCATTTCAGAAAACCTATACTACCCAAAAGCATTGGAAGGTCCCAAATCCTAAGTTGAGGAAAAGGCTGCGTAAATCGATCGTTGAGAAAATCATTCCAATATATACAAAATACATAGAGGATAGCAAAGTTACCAACCCAAAATTCACTCCCAAGGAGATGGAAGAGATGCTGCAAGATTTGTTTGAAGGATGATGAACTGAGAGATTCTTCAAAAATGATGAACTGCGAGAACCCTCCCTTACTTCGTCCAGGTTGCTACAGCACATGGGTGGTTCTTCATCATCAGTGCTGAGGAGGTTTCTTGGCTGTTTTTAAAATTTCTTTCTTGTTAAATGTTTCCGTCATGTGGGTGTTGTTTTATGTTTTGGTGTGTTGTTTGATGTAATTTATTAATCATACAGTCCGTCAAAGCTCTTGCAGGTTGCTTTAAAAAACACAAGTTCACATTTTAGAAAACTAATCTACCCAAAAGCAGTGGAAGGTCCCGAATCCTGATCGGCAAAAGTCTACATAACTCCAACTATTCAGGGTGGTCTACTTTACCCCCCAACTATAAAACCAGATTTTCTACCCCTGAACTTTTCAAAACCGTTCAAATAACCCCCAAACAGTTTTCGATGGTGGTTTTGCTACCGTGACGGAGATTTTGTCTTTTTCTTTTTTATTTATTTCTGTTGAATCTTTGAAAAATCATAGTAAATTACAGAAAAATCATAAAATGAAAAATCTAAATTTGTTGGACTCCACATGAGTAGATCTACACAGTAAACATATAATATGGTATGTTTTAGTATAAAGTTTTTGTTATAGCTTTAGATCTATGCTTTTCTGTAATTAATTAGAATAATTCATAGCTGCAGCTTCTATGGTCCAACTATGGTGAAATTTTTATGGTGGACTAATTATTATATGCTTGAACTGTAGTAAAAAATTCATACTCATTGGATCATGTATAACTTAGTTATAGATTTATTTAGGTTTATGCTTGTTAAATCTATGAATTAATTATAGAAAAGCATAGATCTAAAGCTATAGCAAAAACTTTATACTAAAATATACCATATTATATGTTCACTATATAGATCTACTCACGTGGAGTCCAACAAAATTGGATTTTCCATTTTATGATTTTTCTATAATTTACTATGATTTTTCAAAGATTCAGCGGAAATAAATAAAAAAGAAAAAGATAAAATCTCCGTCACGGTAGCAAAACCACCATCGAAAACCACTTGGGGGTTATTTGAACGGTTTTGGAAAGTTTAGAGGTAGAAAATCCGGTTTTATAGTTGGGAGTGAAGTAGACCACCCTGAATAGTTGGGGGTTATGTAGACTTTTTCGAATCCTGGTTTGAGGGAAAGACTATGCAAATCAATCTCCGAGGAAAATATTCCAATATATGCAAGTCATAGCCCAATCACAACCCCCGAGTTTTTCATGCTTGTGGTGATCTTAATGAGCTGGGCAATTTGGGCAACAAGAAATGATCTAATCTTCAAAAACCAACAAGCCTCAGTTAGTGCCGCCAAGGAAAATTTCAAAAAATTAACTTGCTGACGGTTAGAGAACCTAGTACTTTAAGATATATCTTCGATTTGTGGATCCAAAATCTGTTGTAATTCATATTTATCTTCCATTTTTTTCTCAGTTTCTTGAACTCTTGTCTGTACTGTAACCCTCCTTTTATTTTTGTATATTTCATGTAGGGGTGCAAACCACTCCAGTTTCGTAAAAAAAAGATATATCAGTTTACCATGTAATAAATGATGGACAACAAATTACTTTTAGTAGATGGTTAGTGGATGGGCTGAGAAATGATTGGGATAGGATCTGATTGGACACTATGAATTTTCAACTTCTTGATGAACCTGATATGATTACATGGATGTTTACAAACAATGGGAAATTTTCAGTAGAAACTCTATACAATTCTATTTTTGTTAATGATGCTAGCCCTTTTAAGATCACATGGAAGGGTAACTTCCAGCTAAAATAAAAGTTTTTCTATGTCTGGTTAAAAATGCTATATTAACTAAAGGGTTTTGCTACGGTACCACTAAATAACTGTGGACCGTCGATCTATATATGGCGATAATCACATATTACCTCCTAAGAGGTAATAGGATAAATAATTTTATTTACTTTGAGAAATAGGAAAGCAAGTAACATTTTAAGTAAAATATCTATCAATTAGATCTAACATGCATATGCAACAGATTGAGGCATGCATTTGTATGGATGGTTCCTAGCATGACATGTAATGTATTTTAAGTCAACGTTAGCTGTACCTATACGATGAGTTATATTTTTGTCTAGTGGTGACAAAATTAGAGGTGTGCTTTAATTATTTACCTAAAAAAATTGGATCATTGTAATACCCTATGTTTTGCATCATAATAAAAACCATTAAAAGTTTGAAATTTTTCAAATTTACAACAAATTAATACTTTGACTATTTATTTTCTGTAAAACCATTCTGAAAATATATTTTCCAAAACCCTTGCATCAAAATACATCATGAGCATTTAGGATAAAATGTTGGAATGATTGTTTGGAATGCTTGATTGCTTGATTGTATGATTGTTTGCTCTAGAATTTATTTGGCACTAAATAATTTTCCTTGGAAAATTCCCCTTGACATTTTCCACCTAAATAATCTCCTTGACCTCTCCCTTGATTCTCCAAGTTATCCACATTTCAAATCCCCTAGAATTCAAATCCAAATATACTCAAATGTACTTAGTTCATTTTCTAGGAAAAAGAAAAGGCATTGCATAAAGGGAAAATGATCTCGGGCTCAATCTCCTTCCCTCCCTTCTCACCTCTCCCCCTCTCCTCCCCCGCCTGGGCCGGCCCCGGTCGCACCGGCTCAATCGGCACACAAGCCCAGCAGGAGCAGCCCAACCCCATTCCCATCCTCTTACTGACGTAGCGATCCCGCGGTCAGCCACTTCTCCCTCGCTGACATGTGGACCCTAGGCGTCAGCATCGTCTTGCTCCTAGGAACAACGACGCGAATACCACGTCGACTACCCATTGCCATGGTCATGTTGCTGCTCCCTCGCCTCGGCCGAAGGGATAAGGATGAGAGCTTCACCTCGGACCCCACCGAAGTCTCCCGAAACTGCGCGCTCCCTCTCTCCCCCTTATCTCCACCGCCACGTGGCCGCGCCCGAGCGCTCGACTGTTGCCACCACCATGGACGTGCTCTGGTTCCCGCTCACCTCCAGCCAAGCAACGGATAAGGTCACACTGTGCGCAACCGTCTTAGGATTCGAACGCGTGCGCGGGAAAGGAGGAAACTTCGCCCACGCGAAACCGAGGCGCGCGGCGAGAAATATCTCGTCGGCGCAAACCGACTTTCGACGCCTATAAATAGGCCCGGATGTTGCCCCTCCGCTTCATCCAGCAGAGCCACGAGCTTCGCCTAGTTTAGGAACACACCGTATCCCCTCCATTTCCCCTCCTCCCCTCTTCTTCTGAGCACCAGCTCAAATTCCCCCAAATCAGCCACCATGGCCGCCATTGGAGCCGAGCTCCGAGCTCTCCTCCAGTGGTCCACCATAAGTGGATAGGAGTAGCCAGCTAGTTCCTAGACCCCTCCTCGAGATGGAGCTCGAGGAGCGCCGCGGGTGGAGGCGGCGGAGTCACGGTGAAGCGCGGCGGCTGCGGCGGAGGGGAATTGGTGTCCTCTGCCTGGGCCACACCGATGGCAAGCATCAGGGTGGCCTCTTCTTCTTGGGCCACATGGGCCTGTTGGGCCGGCTCCTCCTTCTTCTTGCTGCGGCAGTCGCGGGCCCAGTGGCCCTTTTTGCCACAGCGCGGACAGGGGTCGTCCGGCGGCGGGCGCGAAGAGCTGGAACCGCCGGAGCTCCCTGACCCGCTGGAGCCGCGGCCGCGGCCTCTGCCGCGGAATTTGCCACGACTGCCGGAGCTGAAACCGCCCCGGCGGGACTCCTGGTCCTTCCTCTTGTACTTCTCAACCCATTGCTCTTCAGTGAGGAGCAATTTTCCACTCACAGTTTGCGGCGGAGCGGGCTCGACGTCGTCGGCGGCCTTCAATCTCCCTGTGACCTCCTCTATGGACAGTTGTGAAATGTCAAGAAGGGTCTCAATCGAGATTACCAACTGCTTGTAGCGTGGGCGGACGACGCGCAGATACTTGGCCACCACCTTCTCGTCGGGCTCCGGATCGCCCAACGTCGCCAGGCGCTGCACGATGCCAGTCATGCGCAAGGCGAAGTCCTCGATGGGCTCACCGTCGCGGAGGGCGATGGACTCGTACTCGGCGCGGAGGTTCTGCGCCGTTGCTTTCCGCACACGATCGTCGCCGATGCGGAAGGTCTTGATGGCCTCCCAGGCCTCCTTGGCCGTGTTCTTGGCCACCAGGACGGGGACCATCTCCGGTGGAACGCCGCTGCAGATCGCGTCGAGGGCGTTGCGGTCGTCGCCGTACTCCGCGTCGTCGTCAACGACGGCGTCCCACAGGTGGCGCGCTTCCATCTTCAGTTGCATGCGAAGCGCCCATTCATGGTAATTAGTCTTGGTGAGCTGCGGCCAGTTGCCGGAGCTTCCTTCCCGGATGATGCGCTCGACGACGACCTCCCGCGGACGGCGTGCGTCGCGGGTGCGCGAGCGGCGTGCGTCGCGCGTGCGGGATCGACGAGGCGGAGATCTGGCCGGTGAAGGAGTGCGCTCCGGGGTCTTGGCGCCGGAGATGCCGGAGTCGTCGGTCTTCTTCTTGCCGTCACCCTTGCCAACCGGTGAACGGCCGCGGGGTCTCGGCGGAGACGCCATGGTGACGGCACGGTCCCTCGAACACTTGGCTCTGGTACCACTTGTCAGAAACCGAACGGCGGCGAGAGAATGCGAGCAGCAGCGAGAAAACAAACGATGAACACGAGAGTTTGGTGCTGCCAAGGGCACAGCGTTTTCTGGGATTGTATTGCTATTTATTGAATTACAAAACAGAGAGATGCAAGCCACGACGCACACGGTTGCGCAGAGTGCGCACGTCCATCCCCATGCGCCGCAACAGCCGGCCATGGCTTGCATGCTCGAGTTCATGCCGAGCGATTCTCGTCCATGACTTCCTACGCACACAGTAACCACAAGCCGGTCCTCGTGTGCATGCATGTGCTAAAAATAGATATGGTATGCTGAAGATTACTCTAGGATTACTAACATCCTCTACCACCTCCACCGGTTACTGGCCCTCTAGTTCTGCGGTCTGCCTCCGTGAGGAGCCGTCGCTGAGCCGCCATAACCAACGCTCGACGCTGGCAAGGCACGGATGGACTAAGACAGCCCTCGCTACGCGCTCACTAGTGCACGGAGGCCACGCGACGCCCTCCCTTGTTCACTGGAACGCTCTGGAAGAACATCTACTCGACACTGAACTACCGCAATCACCCCGGTGAGCCGCCATCGTCGTTACAGGCGCTTATGGCCACTGGGAACCCTCTCAGTCACTGCGGAATCCCGTTACGAACTCCGGCCACTGGGTAGCACCAAACGCCGGCCAAGGACGACGATGGCGACACCAACTCCGGTGAGCCCCACCCTCTCCCCTGTTTCCGTCGTCGCACCACTCGTCGCCGTCGTTGCCGTTCCGTCGCCGTCCCTCCTCCATCCCTCACTCTCCCTCTGGTCCGTGGGCCCAAGACATAATGGCGTCCACGCCCGTCAGATGAGTGGGAATAGAGATGGCCCATGTGTCAACGACTCGTAACATCGACACGCGGACCCCACGCGGTAGTAACTCTGCTCCCCTCTTCTCTTCTTCTGTGGACTAAGTCCACGTCAACCAGTGAGAAAGAGGAGCGAGTCCACGGCACAGTATAGACCCCGTGCATAGCACAGTGCCAGCAGCTGAGCCCCGCCAACCCTGGCCCGCGCGTCATCCTCTTAGCCGAGGAGAAAATACTGAGCACACCCGAACAGTGTACAAGGAGGAGTGAAAACTCATTTTCCTTACATCGGAAATTTCCCAGAAAATTTCTAAATAAACTAGGTACACCCCAGATCCTACCCAAGCACTTTCATACCATTTCCATTATTCCAATTTCCAGAAATATTTTCCAAACTATATTCCACATATTCCTTTCTTAGTAAAATATTTGATAAATCATATCTTCTCCATCCTAAATCCAAATTACTTGATTCCTCCACAAAAAATCTTCTAAATTCAAACTCTACTTATTCATACCCTTATTCTATTATTTGGTGCCCATTTAAATTCTAGTTTGATTGTTTTTCCTTTCCTATATTTAAATTAATACTAACTATAGTAGTACCCTTCACCGTAGCAGTAGCTAACCCCGTATATTCGCGTATGTGTATGCACCATGACACCTACTCGAATATATCCACACCCATTCACCTAAAATAATAAGATATATTTACATACATGGACATGCCCGAGCATTGGTACCCGGGTGTATGCCTATGTATGGTTAACTTTAGAACCCCTTCTTCATTCTAACTAATCTGAGGCACATATATATGCATGTGCGTATGTGCCACTAACCTAGTAGACCTGTAGAAGTCAGAAGAGTCATCTATGATGACTTAGTCAGGCTTTCTCTTTCAGATTCACATAATAGTGTAACCTAATAATAATATGGTTTGATTTTCCATCAGACCAACCCACCACCTTAACCTAACTCATAGAAACCATACCCTATGGATGGAATCCCTTCATCCAAATCTTATTTTAAGTTGACATAATAGTGATAGCCTTAGCTAACAACTTATCACCCAATAGGACCAACCCATCTAGGACTGTTTCTTTCACTTTGATTGCTTATGCTTGTTTTACATGCCTTGCTTATTATTTTCCTTGTTTGTTTTTTCTTGCCTGTCGACGCTAGACCACATAGGATAGAAGACGTGAAGAGAACCCGATGGAGTCCAGAAGACAGGAGCAGGAGACACAGGAATCAGAGAAGGACATAATCATCAGCAATTGGAGGCAAGTCCTAACCCCCACCTATCCATTTTCCACCACTTCATTTACCATCTCTTGACTACTCCCCTTCTACAATCACCACATCTTGCTCCCCTCCACCATAAACCTCCCTCCACTTTTCATCTCCATTAATTAATAAACTTAACTTATATTACTTAAATCCTCTTTGTGAATTAACAAACCTATAAGCTCGATTGTTATAATGTGAATAATGATGAATATGATAAATGGTTATCTTGATATGTTATGAGCTCCATGATTTGAATGAACCTATGGATAATAATTGTGGAACTTAAAATTGGTGAACCTGAACTAGATAACGACAGGGGGCGAGTGAGGGGTAATTCATGTGGTATAAGTTGAAAGCTCTAGTTTGGTTTTGGTAAATTGATGAAACTCTAAGTGCTAACCTAGTTTATCAAAGTGATTATGAGATAAGTGGCACATTCCAAGTGGTGAAGCAAATTAAGATCATGACATGATGATGATGGTGATGGGATGGTGATGATCATATGCTTGGACTTGGAAAAGAGGAAAAAAAACAAAAAGCTCAAGGCAAATGTGAAATTGATAAGAGCTTTTCGGTTTAGTAATCAAGACACTTAGAGAGTGTGATCACATTTAGGATCAATAGTCGTACTATTAAGAGGAGTGAAACTCGTATCAAAATACGATTATCAAAGTGCCACTAGATGCTCTAACTCATTGTATATGCTTTTAGGATCTAGTGGAGTGCTAACACCCTTGAAAATGTTTGTGAAAATATGCTAACACACGTGCACAAAGGTGATCCACATTGTGTTTAGCACTTGGGAGTAAGGGTAAGAAACTTCACCGGCGGAGTGTCCGCCCGTAGAGTGCGGACAGTCCGACGGTGCCACCAGCGCCCTGTACAGAAAAGACAGGTTTTCACATAGTGCACCGGACGCTGGCCTCAACTAGACCGGAGCGTCCGATCAGTGGAAGCAGTGAAGACGCTGGCGTCGGTCTTCGACCGAACGCTGGGTCACTTCGTGGCCGGACGCTGACAGGGTGCGTCCAGTCCTACTGATGTGGCAGTGCACAGAGAAGAGGGTGACTGACTGGACGATGGGTGAGTCCGGTCAGGGTAATCAGACACGTCCGATCACAAAAAATTGTCTCTGGATGCTTACTGGAAGCGACCGGATGCTGGGGTCCTGCGTCCGGTCACGAATGGAACCTTACTGGAAACGACCGAATGCTGAGGTCCTGCGTCCGGTCACTTCGAAGCAGCGCGCCTGGTCACAACTTAAATGTACTAATGACCGTTGAGATCGGACGATCAGCGTTTGAAGCAGGTGCCACGTGGCATGCATCGCGTGACCGGACGCTGTGGTCCAGTGTTCGGTCGCCCCGTTTTTCAGTGGACTAAGGAGCCAACGGCTCTATTTCGTGGGGGCTTCTATTTAAGCCCCATGGCCGGCTCAAGCTCACTCTCTTGGCCATTTGCATTGATATAGCAACCTTGTGAGCTTAGCCAAAGCCCTCCCACTCATCTCCATCATTGATTCAACATCTTTGTGAGATTGGGAGAGAATCCAAGTGCATTGCTTGAGTGATTGCATCTAGAGGCACTTGGTATTCATGTTTCGCTGTGGGATTCACTTGTTTCTCTTGGTGGTTGCTACCACCTAGACGGCTTAGAGCAGCGAGGATCGTAGAGCGAAGGTTGGTGATTGTCTTCGGCTCTGACCGTGGTGATTGTGAGGGGTCTTGTACCTTCCCCGGTGGAGCGCCGAAAGGTAACTCTAGTGGATTACTCGTGTCATTGAGATATCTCACTTGTGGGTAGGTTCTTGCGGTGTCCAATTGTATGGACGAGGTTTGTGCAGCACCTCTTAGCCGCCGAACCACCAAGTGTTATTCGACACAACGGGGACTAGTGTGCCGGCAAGCATGTGAACCTCGGGAGAAAAATTGGTTCTCTTACCCTTTGGTATTCTCCCGATAATTGATTTAGTATTCATCTTGTGATTGGTTCACTCCTCTACACGGCGGTATAATCACCCTACTCATTCATTTATATTCTTGCAAACTAGTTGTAGCAAGCTCTTTAGTGTAATTAGAATTGAGAGCTTGCTTTGTTGTTTTAAGTTCATCTAGTGGAGCTCTTTAGTGTAGCAAGTGTGAGAGCTCTTAGTGAGTAGTAACATAGCAAATTGTGTGTCTAGTGATCATAGCAACTAGAATTGTTGGATAGGTGGCTTGCATCCCTTGTAGAGCTAGAACAACTTTGTATTTCGCTATTTGTTATACTAATCAAATTGCTCTAGTCGGTTTATAGATTTTTAAATAGGCTATTCACCCCCCCTCTAGCCATATTAGGACCTTTCACAAGTTACCTTGGTGGGATCGCCTGGTGAGGGTTCCTGTTGGGAGATACTCGCCTCGGTCACATAAGTACCGGTTCGTAGTCCCTCTCCCTTAGTGATATTACGTACATCCACATGTCTAATATGGGTAGACTTGATCTCACACCCCGTTAGATAGAAGTAAAATTTCTACTAGGAGATCGGTGTTGGCAGCGAAATATTAGGAGAAGACACGGATGCTATGTGATCTTCCGTGGTCCGGTTGGTGTGGTTGCTATGTGATCCTCCACGTAAAGCCCCTTGATTTTTAGCCGTGTTCGAGCCTATATTTATTATTTAACTAGATGATTTGGTATCATCTGCACTATTGGATAGGCTGATTTGGTACCATCCGAGATTATGTAATGGGACAATTTGGTATCCTCCCGAGATTAGTGTGTTTTCCAACCCCTGAGAAGATGTGATAGAGTTATATGAAAATCTAAGGTAGAGCCCTTTCGGGTACGGGATCTCGTTAGGCCTGTCGCGTCATTGGCCCTGGTGTCGACTACGTCTATCATGTGGGGAAATTTGTACACCTCTGTAGAGTTTATTGAATCTATTCGAATAGCCATGTCCTTGGAATGGGCAGATGCTAGGATGAGATACTATGATTAGACTTCTCTTAAAATCATGATAATCTAGTAAGACACATTTTACTAAGCTAGTAAATTGTAATTAACTCCGGGAACTGGTGATAATGGTAATACTCTGCTAGGGCCCACCTTATAATTATAAATACTTCATCCTACTACTTTTATCTCCACCATATCCTCCTCGACATATAGCCTTCTCCTTCCACCTCACCTCCACCCAAGTTAGGGCTTGCTAAGTACTTTATGTACTCAACCCCCTCAATTCTATGTTTTTAGGAGAGAAACTGTAGGAGCACATACCGGGATGGAACTACTGGAGCTACGCAAGGATAGGATAATAGGAGAACGTACTAATATGGAGCTATCGAGGACTGCGCAAGGATAGGACAACCAGAGTATACTCGAAGACAGAGCCTTACGACTACACGAAGAAGTTACGCTAGGACTCGATGACTGAGACAGAGGAATACGCTTAAGAAATAAGTCTAGGGTTACGTCCGCACTCCAAGTTGCCTGTAGATATGGAGTCATGATGATATGGGACCGCTGTTTTAGAACTCTGATATACGACATAAGGCCAATGACCCAAGCTATGTAAACCCAAACCATGTAATGTGTTTCCCCATTAGCAATAAAAATATGGTTTTGATATCAATCTTGTTCGAATTGTACGTATCAGCTACTAATCCAAGGACTGATATATGATGCACAGAGGACCCTAAATTAGGGGCAACACAATCATGAACGTGTTGGTACAAGAGCAGTCTTGAACATGTTGATATTTAAATTACCGGTAATGAGAACACCGTACCTGCTAGGAACGTGTTGGTATTTAAATTATTTATTTATTTTTATTCATAATCCTAACATTATTATTTTCATAATGTTAGTATTTTGCAAATGTATGTTTTTTTTGTTAACAAGTTCTACTGTCAGTCATCGAAAAATAACTTTTCATGTTGATTTATTAGATTCATACCACCAGATGTATTCATGTACGTGGTGTTGGTGTACATAGGAGTATATGCCGCCGTTGCATGCTGTGCAGGTGCACCCATATATGGCAACAAACAAGCTTTTGGCGCAGGCCCCGTTTGCGTGCCCTTAAACCCTGCTTGATCCGCTTTTTTTTCATCCAGAACAATGCTTTTCTCTCACAAATTTCTCCAGAATTCATCCAAACCATCCAAATTCCTCCACAACCATACCATCCGAACGGGGCCTTAGTTTGTTGTCTTTTTTTCTATATATTTTAATTACTTAATAATTACTTAATTATTGCATGCATTTTAAAAACCAAGGTTGAGATTTATTTGAGATCTTACCTCCTATATGGTAATGGAGGTACCTTAGCAAGGCCCTAAATAAAGACAATATGATCAAGAGGAAATGGGGAGGAAACCCCAAGTGTTAAAATGAAAATATTCCTCACTTGCTGTTTTGCTGCTGTGTTGCAAAGGTTGTTTGGGTGGTGACAACACACTGTTTAGGTGCCTCAAATATACCCAGAAAAATGCAAGCAACAATGTTAGAGCTAGTGCAAAAGGTGGCTGTCGAATGGACATGAATTTCATGCTTTTGGCGTTGGAGCTTTGTGTTGGGCTATATGGAACTCAAGAAATAGAGCTTGTTTTGAAGGAAAGACTGTTAACAACCCTGCTGAGATTGTGTGTTATGCTTGTGCTCTTATGCCATATTGGGCAGGTTTGCATGCTGATGAAGACAAGAAGAGTCTAGTGGAAGGAGTGGCCCTCACGTTCAAGATTGCAACAAAGATTCTCAACAAGTCAAAGCAAACAAGAGGGGTGGGAAACCGATTGATTGCAAGATGCTGATCATCCTGGCGACGATGAACAGGGACAGGGGGACTAATCACTGAAGGAAATCTCCATCAATAGGTGTGGTCATAGGCTCATAGCTCTTTTGTGATAGTTGTGTTGGCTTAGCTAGTTTGTTGGGTGCTGTAGATGTCTTGACTCTTTTCTGTTTCCTAGTTAAACTTGTGGTCGCTGTTTACTTTCCTCCTAGGACATCTGAATCAGATAGGCTATAGGAAAGGTACGGTTGATTGGCCCTAGGAATCTGTTTGCTTTTTGTTCAGTCTTCAAGCTGTCTGTAATGCCACCAGACCGATGTATTTCCGTTATTCACTTAGGCCTTGTTCAGATGTTATTGGATTCACCTCAATCCATATGCGTTGGAGTAGATTAAAGTGCAATTTAATATAAGTTTAACTCCAATCCACCTCAACACATGTGGATTGATGTGAACCAAATTATATCCAAACAAAGCCTTAATGAAAATGGGGTTCACCTCGGTTCAAAAAAAGAAGAGACAAAACTACGATAGGCGTTTCTCTACAAGAGCAACATTCTCGTGCAGTTATACATAATGTTATATGTTGTATGGAAGTGATCTCACTGCTTTGAGATTTCTTTTCATACGAGGCGGATCAGTAAGTGGTGCTATATATACATAACTGTAGTCAGTACCATTTTACAATGAACAAACTATAACCATGGAAGAAACATCGTTGTCAATATCAGTGTCGTTTCTAGAAAGCTGAGCTCTCCATTTCCCTTTCTGTTTTAGACGCACGCACAAAACACTGAGAGCATACAACACAAGACGAGCTATCTGCCTCACAGAGTCACAGCTAACAAGGTACTCCCCGTTTATTCCTTCCTATAATATCACCTGTGTATGGGTGCCATGCACCCTAAATTACTGGCTTGTCCGGAATCTGTGGAGAATAGATTCAGGTGGAGCCTCTCAGCTCCCCTTGCTAAAAAATAATAATATCATCTGCATCTCTGTACTGCTTTGACATCAGCGCTTATCAATGTTTGGTCCAACACAGACACATAAGCCCACGTAATTAGGACGGCCCATGTCAGCCCAAGTACTCGGCAACCCATTGCACCCTCCGCTGGTCCTGCCCATGACGCCACTGCTGACTGAGGTGCTGCCGCCACGCCCTTGTTAACTTCGCCGGCCAGGCGGCGACGACGTCGAGCCGCTTTGGATTACTCTGGTATTTTGGCTTTGATGAGGAGAGCGAGGACACGCCCGGAGACAGGTGCCACAGGAACTAACGGCAAAAATAAAAACGACGGGAGGTCGGAGGAGGTCTTGGCGCCGGCCCCAATCCTCGTCCCCGTCTCGTCGCCTCTCAGGCACGCAAGCAGCCGAGCATGGAGGGTAGGAGTAATGGAGATCTTGGACTTTGGAGCCGGTATCGCGATCACACCATTCGTGGTTCCTCCTCATCTAGCGGCTACACATCAGCAGGTACCATCGTCTCGATCTCCACTGGCTACACATCAAACAGCAGCTCTTGCGCCTCTCCTCTATCTCGTCCCTGGGCCTGGAGGCCGCCATAAACATGGACATGGAGTTGGTGTTGGACGAGGACAGGTCTCGTCCAACCAAGAAGTATCGCAAAGGAATAGAGACCAGCAAAGAAAAACAAAAGGAGGAGGAGGTGTACTATCAGGAAATAACGAAGGAGGAGATGGAGGGAATCAAATTCGTGGTCTATGAGTTCCTCGGTGTGCCATCGCCGTCGCCGTCAGAGGATGGCCGCCTCGAAGCCAAAGGTGGTAACATCGGTGTCCTAGATTGGTGGTTGAAACATCTGGGTGTAGGATGGGTCCTCGACATCGCTGATGATTATGTATCTGCTGGAAAACTAGAGCATACTTTTGATCATGCACGGAGCTGGACGAGGGCTCTCGCTAAAATCACCGAGACCGTATATTCCTAGTAGCGGCGCTGAAGAAGAACAGCAACCTGAGACTGAGACCGGCAACAAAGATAGTATTCCGGATCTGTTGAAACTGCTCGTTTTTGTTGACGTCATAGTTGAAGACGTTATGAACCGGAGGGTGCTGCGGCCATACAATGAAGTCACTACCCTTATAAGCGACCACAGTGGTCTACTGGTACTGTTTGATCTCTTTGCCCTTCTCGGTGTGCACGATGCTCTGTCTGAGGCCTTATCAGCGATCCGATGGCTATTCAGTTCGCCTCCCTCTGGAGGAGTTGAAAGAATACAGGACAAGATAGTCCGCATTCTGTCAGCAAAGCAGACCAAGGCGGCTGAGGCCATATGGAGCACAATGCAGCAAATTTTGATGGAGTTCACCAAGGATCGAGATAACTTGTCGTGTTCTCTAGATACACAAGAATCATCAGACGTTCACAAGGCCACTCAGTTCGTAATCTGGTACATCAGCTAGGTTGTTGTGCTCTCATTACTGCAATCTGGTACATCAGCTAGATACACAAGAATCATCAGACGTTCACAAGGCCACTCAGTTCGTAATCTGGTACACTGGTCAGTGGCTGCAATCGTGTCTGAAGCAGGTAGCCATAGCAAGTATGTACCTCAGACAGGAAACATAAGACCTTTGGACAGTATGATCAGAGAGATTGTGTCTTGTCTACAAGAAACGCTTGCCAACAGATCACAGTTCTTTCTAGATGATGGCCCTAGGTTCTTATTCTTGCTCAACATCTTATACTTTATAAGGCAGGAGCTCCCCGGCAACACACCCTTTTCTCTCAAAGAAAACATGGCAGCCCTAATTGGCAACGTTGGGGACTAAGTATCTTGGGCACCGATGTTGTCAAGCTAGTTAAATCCTACACCTCTTTGTTACAAGAGAAACTACTCCCTGCTGTCTAAGGCCCCGTTTAGATTCCAAAAAAATTTACGCAGTACCCGTCACATCGAATCTTGCGGCACATGCATGGAGTACTAAATGTAGACGAAAAAAAAACTAATTGCACAGTTGGGTGAGAAATCGCGAGACGAAACTTTTGAACCTAATTAGTCCATAATTAGACACTAATTGCCAAATACAAACGAAAGTGCTACAGTAGCCAAAATCCAAAAAATTTTGGATCTAAACGGGGCCTAAGTTTGAGTACGAGTTTCGAAAAATGTACACCACTCAAAAGTTATGGAAGGTCCCAGATCCTGAGCTAAGGAAAACACTGCACAATGCTATCATCGTGAAAATCATTCCAAGCTATACAAAATACATAGAGGACAACAAAATACTCAAGAGCTGTTTGAAGGATGATAAACACTGAGAGTGCAACACAGAAGCCAAGTCACCACAGGGTTTCTGCTGTTTGTGCTGATTTTTTTAAAATTGCCTTTGCTTCTGGGGCTATATGTGAAGCAGAGGAAAACCTGAAGCACTATAAAACTGCAATTTTGAAATGACTATGGAACAGCCAGGAGTCATGTGTATTCCATCTGCCTTGCAGACTTGTACTAGCACTAAATCAAGCCCCCTGAATTGTCAATTTCCAAACGAATTCATGTGCATAACTCAAAACCTTGCTCAGGATCCAATTCTTGATCGACAATTCCTCCTATACTTGGCAGCAGCTTCGCGCAGTTCTTATCACAAAATCGACGGTTTTTGTGTTCATGCCCCTACTTTAAAGTTCAATAATGGTTTTTGCCCTCAGTTTTTTAACATTATGATTATGCTCATGTTTTGTCAAACTGATGAATGGGTTTGCCCCAATTTTGTTAACTGCAACTAATAGTGTCAATTCAGATGTGAAAAGACAAGTTTGTCTATATGGACATGAATTAGTGTTTTTACCCATGTTTTAAAATCAAACATTGCGACGACATTACGACATATTTCAAAAGAATTTGGCAGCGAAACTTCAGAAAATCAGCATGTATTTCAAGTCTCGACAGTATGCAATAGTATCATAGCAAGGAATGTACAATTAGGTAAATCGCCCGAAAGATCCAAGTTTACTCACCTACAAACCAAACTGAATTGACATCCATAACGTCTACCAACAATACTCCATCACCATATTAGGAATTGCAGAAATTACGTAGCCTTTTCGTAAATATTGGAGCAAATCCATGAGCCAATTGTGTAACGCCTTATGTATTCCCTCATGCTCAAATCTGTTATCTGTTACTATACACCTAAAAAATATGAAGCGGTTTCGTCCAAGGAACTCTCGTGCGCGCGGCCCCTCAAAAGTCAGACTTGTGCCGCTTACCCGGTATTCAAGACGTGCTCAGGCAGGGCAGGTTTGGTCGTCACATGTACCGCGGCACGCTGGAGAGGCCTAGGGGCCCGGGAAAGCGGGTGCCCCAGGAGCGGGCAGGGCTACAGCTACCGCAGAGTTCCGTGTGACAAGACGCTCCCCTACAAGTAGGACGTGTCCGGGGAAGGAGCAGCCAAGGAGGATCACATGTCCTGGATAGAAACGGAAAGAAAGGATACCGAGTTTGTTCGACCAATCAAGCAGCCCCGCAAAGAAATGGAGATGAAGCAAACGGGATTTTCTCCAGCGAAGGAGAATTCCTTTCAGAAAAAAGGAAGCAATAAGAGCGCAGGAAAAGATAAAGGAAATTAAAATCCTGGTCCAGGAATTCTTCAGTGCGCCGTCGGCACTCGGCAGCGAATTACAGCATCACTGTCACCGGCGGCAACATCAGCGTCCTAGATTGGTGGTTGAAAACATCTTCACGTCACTGATGATCAATCTGCAGGGCTACAGAAGCATACTTTTGATCATGCGCGGAGCTGGATCCAGGCTCTCACTAAAATCACGGAGACCATAAGTTGCATGGCGTCCCTCTGTCCTGATCAGCCTGAGAGTGATGTTAGAACAGAGAGTGGGAATGGAGCTAATATTGTGGATCAATTCCAGTTCGCACAATTTATCCAAAAAACCATGTTGAAACTGTTGGCTTTTGCCGATGTCATAGATACTTTGGATGCTAAGCAGATCACTTTAGAAGAACAAGATCTTAGGAATTGGATGGTGCCGCGACAGCAGTACGATCACCTCCATACCCTGCTTTCTGTGCACGGTGCTCTGTCCAGTGCCTTGGACAAGATCCGGTTGTCATTCCCTTCGCCAAGCTCTGCACAAGTTGAAAGGATACAAGGTGAGATAGTCAGCCTGTTGTCATCAGAGGAGGCCAAGGTGGCTGAGGCCATATGGAGCACAATGCAGCAAATCAGGACAGAGTCAATAGAGGATGACGACGGCTCGTTTACTTCTCTAAATCCACAAGAATCATCAAACATTCACAAGACTACTCAATCCGTAGTTACGTACATCAGGATCTTGCAGTGTCATTGCCGGCATGTGGCTGCAGTTGTCTCTGAAGCAACTAAACCTGGTAAGTATGTGCCTCAGATTGGAAACTTACAACCGTTAAACAGCATGATCATAGAGATGGTTTCTCGTCTGCAAGAAAAGCTTGCCAACATATCAGAATCCTATTCAGATCAATGCCTCAGATTCTTATTCTTGCTGAACAACTCATACTTGATCATAAAGCAGAAGCTCCACTATGAGTCTGATTCGTCTCTTCAAGTCCACGTGGCAGCTCTCGTTAGCAAAGTTGAGATGTACATGGAGAGTTATCTACAATTATCTTGGGACCCGGTGTTATCCTGCTTGCTCAATCCTACACCTCTGTGCTATGGGAGGTCTTCCCGCTGACCAAGTTTGAGTCTGCATTTCAGAAAACCTACTCTAGACAAAAGCTGTGGAAGGTCCCAGATCCTGAGCTGAGAAAGAGGCTGCGCAAAGCTATCACTAATAAAATCATCTATGGCTACACAAGATACATAGATGACAACAATATTACCACCCCAAAATTCACAACCCAGGAGCTGCAAGAGTTGTTTGAAGGATGAACGAGAGCACCAGAGAAGACAATTCACGGTTACATATGTGAATTTATGTTTCCTGCTGTGTTGGTTTTGAGATCAAATGTTGATGTTGTTGCTTAGAGTAACATGCTTCAGAAGCTCTGTATCAAGCAGACGAAAAGCTGAATAACTAGCACTTCATTTGGCTATTTATGTTTTTTCTTTCTCAATTTTCAAGTAAATATTGAACAGCAGAGAGCTGTCTGTATACTGTACCTTTTGCCTTGTTGGCTTGTACTAGCACCAATGATATTTACGTTCGCTTCTCTCTCTTCAAATCAAGCCTCCTTGATTGTCAATTTCTCCAAACGAATTTGTTGTAGTAACTAAAAACGTTGCTCACTTGTGATTTTGAGGACATACTAGATCAGTTGTAATCTTTGTGGCACGTGACTACGTGAGATGAAACACATTGGAAACAATATTTGATGCTCAGTCGACACTTATTTTTCATCATCATCACTATCCAGTCTGTAAGATGATGCGGAAGTGTTGTGTCTCTCTGCAGTTACTTAGTCCAAGTTGTGTTGGAAATAATAAAGCAGATAAACGGCCTGTTCGGTTGGCCGGTTCGTTTCGTTGCTGGTTCGTGAAGAAGTACTGCTGGCTGTTTTGTGTGAGAAAAAAATACTGTTCTGACTAAAAATTTACGATCGTTTACGACAAGCCACAGCCAAACGAACAGGCCGAAAGTGTAGTTTCAAGCTAGGCAGAGCATGTGCATTAGTGCATCCTGGGATTTTCTTTTTATAAATAAAGATTTGAAATGGGAACAACGTTAGTACAGGCCCGACAGCCCGAGCAGCTGTTCAGAAAATAAACCAAACCACATGGATAGTGAGTGCGGCACCAATGGCTAGTACTGATTAAAGACCGGAGCTTCCAACATATCAGGGCATGTTTGGTGAAAAAAAAGGGTACTACTAGCGCCAGCCCGTGCAGTCCAGCACACCCCGGCCCGCACACCCACCCCGCACACCCGGTCGCATCTTCTTCCTCCCACCGCGTCTTCTCCTCCCCGCGTTTTCTTCGCCTCCGGTGCCGCCTCCCCCGACACCACATCACACCGGCCTGCTCCAGATCCGGCGACGCTGCTCCAGACCTCGCCCTCGCTACCACCACCTCCGACCACCCCGGTGAGACCCTACCGCCGGCAGCGACCTCCTCCTCCCCCTCCCCCCTCCCCCCTCCCGCATGCTGCCATGGCGAACTCCGGCAAGCTTCGACGAACTCTGGCCATGGCGCCCCCACCCTGACCTGGCCCGGCCGCCACGACCGCCGGCAGCTCCCCTAAACCGCCCGTCGACCTTTCCCACCGCCTAGCCTACCTGCCTGCCCCGGGCGGTCCTTCTATACCCCGCCGGAGTTGGGGAAGAAGGGTGGGGCGCGGCCGCCGGAACCCTAGGCACCGCCGTTGTCTTCATCGGCGTGGGCGCGGTCGCGCACGGGCGAGTGGGCACGGGCGCAAGCGCGTGGTGGGTGCGGGCGGTACCTTCTCCGGTGGCGTCATCGAGAGCGGGCTGGTGCGTCTTCTCCGGCCTCAGCGTCGAGCGCATTGGACGGGCTCCATTCTGCCCCCCCTCCCCTCCCCGCATCGCAGCGGCCACGCTGAGTGCGCAAGACGCCGAGCATCGCGAGCGCACTCGCTCGCAGTCAAGCATTTGGGAAAAAATTATACTTGGTGAAAGGATCTTTAGATGGTTCGAGGGGCTGAATACTTCCGGTGCGCGTTAGCACCCAAACAGCCACCAAAACGATCTCTCTAGAGTCGTTCTTCGATGACATCTCTGATGCACACACCGGAGAGTTTTGGTCCGTTCAAATGCCCAGAACCATGTGCTAGACTGCACTGTTCCAAGGTCTGGTGCCGGCGCTTTGGTGCCATCGAAAGACAATTATCTGCGCGCTTCGTAAACTTAGCCGACAACAGTGCCTCAGGTAAGCTCCAGTAGACACCTTCGGCGACCCCTTCGCACCTTTTGAATGCTCTCTGGATCTACCCTCTGGTGCACCATGGAGATATCCGATGAGTACAAGATGTTCAGGCTGATCCGGTTTATTGCACTGTTCCAACCCTCCAGTGGCTCAACTTCCTGTTCACTTAGCTTATAAGCCATACTTTTTCAGCCAACAAACAATATTTTTCTATCACAACAAATCAGCCAACAATACTTTCAGCCATGGCTTATCAGCCAATCGAACGGGGCAAAGCTCATCGGAGAATTCTAGTGAGCGTAAAAATCGGACTCAAACTAACCTTTTTCAATGATTAACTCCAAATTACTTTTCTGTAGGATAATCATACCTTTAGCACTGAGTTAGCATTTTTATAACATTTCCAAAGGTTTTCTTTTATTTCCTCACCGTGCCACACGATCTAACATATGCATCATTAGTTCTCACCTAGTGGCATTAGATAATTGTATTAGCCCAAGAATTCTTCTCTTTATAATATGGCTATCTATCCTAAATCTAGCCAATCATTTCTCCACACACCTTCGCCAGCAAAAACAAAACCCTACAAGATATACCTTTGCCTTCGAGCTCTTGCTTCCATCCTTCTCCGATTCATCTCCGTCGTCTTTAATATTACCAAGTGTTGAGCTTCTCATTACATGTCTATGTCAGGTCTTCTCATGGCCTTCATGTTGCTCAACATCACCTTGTGGGCTAAGTACTTAATTATCTCATATGAAAAGGATTAGTCCATCTAAATGTTGTCACTCAGTTATTACCAAAAACAAACGGGAGCTCTCACTCGGCCCAAGCCTGGTTCAAAACATTTCTTTTATCCATTTCCTGATAAAAATAATGGGTGGCTTGCCCTAGCCCAAAGCCTAGCCCGAAGTGACCCACGAGACGCTATTGGGGCACAATTTTTAGGACAGAAACTAAATCGGAATGATTAGTGCCCAGACGTCCGGCGCGAGGCCTGCGTCCGGATGTCGCTTCCCATGCCCTGTGCCTACTCCGTTACGCACACCCCACCCGCTCGGATTCTGCGCCGCTCGAACGACTCACCCAACCCTCGCCGCCCGTCCCCACGTGGGCCCACGCCATCCGAACATCACCAGCATCGAGAAGAGAAGACACCGAGGCAAAGACAGCAGAAGGCGAAGAGGGAGATGCAACACGTACTTGATCTACTTTTGAAACATTCAAATAAAAACATTTGCAACACACGTTCGAAAACATTGAAATACTTGCAACATACGTCTAAAACACTTGTAAAATGCTTGGAAAAGCCATTGCAAAATATATGCAACATCTAAATAAAATACATGCAACATATTTGTGGAACACGTGCAACATTCAGATAAACACACTTGCAACATACATCTGAAAAAACAACTAACATTTGGAACATTCAGATAAACACACTTGCAACACTTGCAACATACGTGTATAACCATTGCAACATATGCAACATCCTGATCTATGTTTGCAACATCCACATGAAAACACTTGAAACATCCAGATAAAACATCTGAAACATACTTTTGCAATATGCGTTTTCAGCGCGCAATGTCACCTTGCTGCTTGGACGAATCACAGAGTTCGACGCTGCAGCGGCGCATGGAGCTCGTCGGTGCGCCTCTAGGCGAGGACGTGCTCGGTGGCATGGGTGAGCACCTATGCGAGGCGTGCGAGCACCTGCTCCGCGCCCTGGGCCAGCGCACCCTGGGCACGGCGTAGGACGGGCTTTGCGTGGCGGGGTGTAACACCCTAAAATTTGCCTCTTTTGAAAATAGGTTTAAAATTATTTAATTTGGAATTTTGTGCTCATGAAAATAAATAAAAAATTTCATTAATTTAAAATTCATTATAGGGAGTAGCAACATGGATGTGCATACATGCTGATGCATTTTGATTTATTTGGTGGAGTGGTTTTGATTTAAAACTTCAAAAATGATTTGAATTGCTTTTGGAAAGAAATTAAAAAAAAGTAAAAGAAAAGAAAGAAAAGAGAATTAGAAAATAAAAGAATTTAAAAAGTTGTAAAATTTATTTTTGAAAACTTATCAAAATTTCTCATTTATGTTTGAATTGAAAAGTGTATTTGAAATCCTATTCAAATTTAATTTGGTTTACATTTGAATTGGTTTTAAAAATAAAATAGAAAAGGAAACTTATCTCTTTCTCTTATTAGGCCCGAGTGGCCCGCTTCTATTTTTCTTCCCGTGGCCCAGCATTCTCCTCCCGCGGGCTGTCCTTCTCCTTCCGCTTGGGCCTGCGCCCCGCATGGCCCGCGTCCCGCGCGGCTTTGCTTTCCCCCGCGCTGGCTCATCTCCCGTGTCCCGTCGCTCCACATGACCTAGTAGTGCAGCCAGCCCAGGTCGCACCGCGCGCGTGTCTTTTCTCCACCTCGCTGACGCGCCTGGCCTGCCCGTCAGGGTGTCTTCTTCCTCTCCACGCCGTGTCCGCTCCGAACACGACCGCACTGACGCCGCCGTGTCCGGCTCCACTACGTCGCGCGTGCCATACGCCCTACGCTTCCCGGCCCCATATAAGCCGAGCCGCACCTTGCGCCGCCTCCTTATCCCGCACCCACGCTGCAGCCTCATCCCCCGAGCGCCCGCAGCCGCGCCGCCACCTAGCTCCGCCGTCCGCCGTTGACCCGCCAAGCCGCACGCCATCTCCGAGCCATCTTCGGCCGTGTGGTTGCCCTAGGTGAGTTCCCTACCCTCTCCTCTCACTCTCGGACCTTCCCGTTCGAAAAACCGAACACCGTAGGCCCTAAACCATCTTCTCTGGCGAGCTCATCGCCTCACCAGCCATGGCGCCGCCGCGCCCGCTCTATTCTGGTCGGCGTCGTCGTCTCCTATACCGCCCAATCTAATCATGGCCGCCCGTAGCTAATCCGATGTCCGTGGATGACCGATACCCCTTCATCTTGGAATTTTGCAAGAGTCCTTATAAATATTTGAGACTAAACCCGCGATCCAATACGTATGGGATAGAATGCGTCTTCTTCTCTTAAAATC